GATAAGGGAGTAAAAGAGTGGAAAGTTACTGCTTAGCATTTAGTAGACTATAAAAGGATGCGAGGTGACCAATCAAGGAATGTGTGATCGTGTGTAAAGGAAGTAGAACGATATAAATATGTGCTTGTCACACAATAAAGGATCTTATGCTGGATTCACATTGGATCGTGCATAGTCCATTTCTTTGTTCCCTCACAAAACCACTATTGTTACCATTGAGACAAGGAGGCACAAAAGTACAAAATGTAATCAGTTCTAAGTAATGTTAAGTTTGATGGCTTTGTAATGGAAAATAACCGCGGTACTTGAAAGTAGTTGACGTAGTTTCAGGGCCTCAGGGCCTCAATACAAAAGGTGTGAGAAAAGCAGAATAGAAGGACAGGACCTGGGATGGGGAGTATCCCAGACTAGCAGATGTCCAGGATGAGAGCAGTTAAACTAACTGATAAGTAGAAGGCCAGGATGATTGCTATGTCTGTAATGTTAATTTAGCTTGTTGGGAAAAGTAAACGACCCTTAAAGACCACCACATTTTTGTATGCATGCTGGAAACTTTTTGGAAAATGATGTAATATGCTCAGCGACCATATAAGGATGACCTGTATAGCAATTCGGGGACACACGTTAGGAGAAGCTATCCCCTGTGTCTCCCGGCGCCGCAATAAAGAATACCTGCTTGTCAGCTTGAAACTCTGCTGGCAAGTTTGTTCCTGGAGTTTTCTCCGAATCAATTTGGCACCCCAGATGGGTCCCTCTCTGCTTGGCTGCAGGACCCGCTGAGGACAGGGCTCCCTAGGGCCCTTGGGAGTTTTTCCCGGAGGGACCCCTCGACTCATTCGGATCACTGCGGGAGCAGACAAGGACCATCTCATAAAAGGTATTCTTTTCTTTTATATAGTCTTTAAGATGCAGGGGGCATCTCGGTTTGGTAAATTGGTTTGGTAAGGGTACGCACGGTGAGGAAGCCTTCCGTAAATCGAGATAGGAAATCTCATGGGTAAAGGCGTATACCCTGCTGCTAGCGTCCGTTTGGTATACGCCTACAAGAAGCAGTGGGCATCTTGTGGTTTGGGTCCGACAAGACGCAGTGGTCGTCTTGCACTAAAGGTTTTACGTTTTATTACACGCACAAGAAGCAGCGGGCATCTTGTGTTTTGGGTCCGACAAGATGCAGTGGGCGTCTTGCACTAAAGTGATACAGAGGGTTGACCAATGTACAGGGGGGTAGTACAGGGGGGTTGTACAAGGGGGTTGTACAGGGGGGTTGTACAGGGGGGTTGTACAAGGGGGTTAGAGGAATTTGCTTGTCCATCTGTTGTAAATGCCTGCTAAGCAGGACAGAGACCTCCGGTCCTATTGATAAGGAAAGCAGATACCTGGTCCTGGAATTTGCTTGCTTAAACAAAAGGACTATCTGTTGTAAATGCCTGCTAAGCAGAACAGAGACCTCGGGTCCTGTCTGTTGATAACCAGACGCCTGAATCTACTGATAAAGGGGAGAAGCAGAGGATTTACGGCTGGGACACTGACCAAACTCTAAGGCCACACGTGAAGACTAAAAAGGTGAGAAGTGCAAGAAGAGGAAGACTCATTTAATTCATCTTGAAGACCCCTACCCAGAGGAGGAAGACTCATTTACTTCATCTTGAGACCCCTGCCCATGACCAGAGGGGGCACTGCGCAGACGCAGAGGACCTTCTGGCTCATTATAATATGAAGCGGGGATAGGACATGAATATGTATAGATGTGTTGTGCAACCTTGAATAAATGTAGAGGGAAACAACACTGAGGCACGCATGACTGAGGAATTATCCCCGTGCGTCTCAGCGCTGAATAAAAAGCATACCTACTTTACAACTTTAACGAGTTGTGGAGTCAATCCGCGCATCAAAAGGTTCTAGGTTTTATTATATGCACAAGAAGCAGAGGTCATCGTGTGGTTTGAATCCGACAAGACGCAGTGGGCATCTTGCACTAAAGGTTTTATATGCACAAGAAGCAGAGGGCATCTTGTGGCTTGGGTCCGACAAGATGCAGTGGGCGTCTTGGACTAAATGTTTTACGTTTTATTGGTATATACGCACAAGAAGCAGAGGGCATCTTGTGGTTTGGGTCCTGCAAGAAGCAGTGGGCGTCTTGTAGAAAAAGTTTTGGATTTTACTGGTATATGACTTGTGTTGTGACTTGTTATATTTATGATTTTGGTCTTGTGATTTTGGTATTGGTGACAGACTGTTATAAATGCATATTAATTGTTGTCTTTGTTTCAAGTATGTTCTTGTGATTTTGATGATGGTGATAGAACTGTTAATTGTTAGTTTGATACAATGTTAGTCTCTGTCTCGAGTGCTGCAACTGTGTGGAGTGTGTCTGTGGGATCTCGTGTGTGTGTGAGAATGCGAGACTGATACCAGGAAATCAGCAGAGTGGAGAGATCTTGAAAAAGAGTCCTTTAGAGTTCATTTTGGCACACTGAAAAGAACTGGGTTTCCTTGGGGGCTCGGTACATGAGATAACATTGATAAAATATTGTAACCAATGATGGCCTTTGTATACTTTGGAAGATCAGGAAAAATAGCCTAAAAATGAGATTTTGAACTATGATACAGTTACAATTAACGTTGTTTTTGAGGGGGCAAGGAAAATGGAAAAGGACAGAAAAAAAAAACACCAAAAACCTGAAAGCTAAGCTGGAGAGATGTTCAGATTGTGGTACCGGGGAAAGATGCTTAAAGTGAAGGAAAACCAAGGGGGAAAGGAGGGGAAGTCAGGCAGCTCCTGTGTTTGAGCATGGGATGAGTGCTGGAGAGGCAGAGATGGAGGGATGTCGGGCAGAGGGGGAGTGGGTTCTTCTCCTATGGGACCGAATCGGTGTGTGTGTGTGCTGTGGGGAGTTTTGGACATTGGAAGTGAGACTGCCCTGGGGGGGAGAGTGCCATGGGGTGGCTCCGGTGGCTGAACTGGAACTAGACTGACAAGGGACCTGGGGAATCTACCCTAGCAGATCCACTGGTTAAATTAAAACTAGGGACTAGAGAGAATAAAGTGGAATTTTAGTGGATACAGGAGCAACTTATTCAGCGTTAATTCAGAGGGAAAAGAATTTGTTACAGATGTGGGAGCTACTGGCCACCAAAGAAAAAGAAAAAAAAAAACGGGGAAAAAAGAGGCATTTTTTCTGAAACTCTTAAAGTACAAATTGGGAAAACAAATAGGAATGCTTAAAATTTTTATGCATGCTAAATTCTCAAAAATCTTTATTAGGGCAAGAAGCAACATTTAAAGAAGGCAAAATGGAATTAAGAGTTAAAAATCAATTAATTGCAGTTTTCAGTTTATCTTTAATTCAACAGAAAAGCGAACAGGAGGACCTGCCTGAAATAGAAGAAATCCTTAATCCAGGTATATCTGGGAGTATGGGCACCTGAAGTTCCAGGTAAGGCAAAAAATACTTTGCCTGTTAAAGTAGAAAGAAAAGGGGGGGGGGGGGGGGGCTGCCCAATTAGAATAAAACAATATCCCCTAAAATTGCAGGAAAGGGAATTAAAAAATAATTGATAAATTTTAAAATATAAATTCTTAATTAAATGTGAATTGGAATATAGTATTCCTATCTTGCCAGTAAAGAAAAGTTGCAGATTGGTTCAAGATCTCAGGAATCAACAAATTTGTAGAGGATATTCAGTAATAGCTAATCCGTATACCTTATTGACTAAATTGAATCAGAAATGGTTTGCCGTCTTGGATTTAAAGGACACTTTCTTTTGCTTACCATTGGCCAAAGAAAACCAGAATTTATTTGCTTTCGAATGGGAACAGATTAGTAAAATATGTCAAGATATTGATACTAAGCTTTACCACTGGCTCTATTGAGAATTTGAACTAAACCTCAGTCGGAAGAAGAGGCTATCCCGTGTAAAATTTTATATGGAAGACCATATCAGTCCCAGTTTAAAGGAGAAAGTCTTCTGGAAGTGGGAGAAGGTTATCTCCTGAGTTTCTGATCAATCTGGGAAAGCAGTTAGAAGAAATAAGAGAATACTGGGGACAAGAGCGAGAGCCATGGATTATCCGACTCACCCTTTTAGATCCAGAGACTGGGTTTATGTTAAGAATTTTTTAGGAGAAACCTCTACAGGAGAAGTGGAGCGGACTGTACCAGATAATATTGACCACCTTTACAGCAGTGAAGATAAAGGAACAACCCTTCTTCAAAAATGAAGACAGCACCAGAACCAGAGAAGACATGGCAGATCAAACCTTCAGGACCTTCACATATGAAATTGTATCAGTCGTAATTTGGATTTACGTGATAACTGATATACCAGCTTGGGACCAATACTTACCTGAAATTAATGCAGAATGTTACTAAAGTTGTTAATTGTAGTGACTGTTGGGTGTGTGCACAGTTGCCTAAATCAGGAGAAGATCAGGGCCTTCCATTAATTAGCGTTCCAATTTCCAACACTATCTCATGGAGACAAATTTAAGATTTGGAATAGTGAATCCTAATCGAGGTAAAGGATATTATACCTGTGTACAAAGATGTGTTACACCAGGAACCAGAGTATGAGGCTTGTTTAAATGCCACAGGTGTAAGTCACTATTCAAATTGCAATCACACTATTAATATAGATGGTATCGTAGTTCAGTGGTAGCCCGTTCCTGAAGGGAAAAAATGGTACTTTTTATGTGGGAAAAATACTTACAAGACCGTACCCCCCAGCTGGAAGGGGGCATGCACTTTAGGTGTTGTGATACCAAATCTTACTATTATTGACATGCATCCTCCTGGAACCTGGGTTAGAAGTTTTGCTAAATGGATTGAGGGTTTAACCCCATCGCTGAATGAAACACTGCATTTCATAGTTTTGTGAGATGGCTAATTCCATCTTTGGGAGTAAGTGAATTAAAGAAGGCAGTTGTAAATATCTCAGCAACTAAGAGGAAATAGAAAAGAGGACCATTGATATAACCCAAGCTGAACAAGAATAGATAACTAGCCTATCTAAAATGTTATTGCAGAACCAAATGGCCCTAGACATGTTATTGGCTTCACAAGGAGGGGTCTGTTCCATAATCAATGAAAGTTGCTGTTCCTATATAGATCAAAGTGGAAGGATTGAAACGGATCTGGAGGAAATTTGGAAACAAACAAAGATATTTCATGAAATGGCCAAGGCTGATACCTCCTGGGGGTTTGAAGAGATATGGAAAAAGTTAACCTCATGGTTACCTAATCTCTCCTGGTTAAGGCAACTGGTTGCAGGAATATTAATATTAATTGTTTTAATATTGATTACTTGTGCTATGATACAATTTTCTGGTATTGTAAACTATCTATGATAAGTTATGAAGATTGGAAAAGAAATGAAATCAAGCATCAAGTAGAAACAGGAAACTATTTCAGAAAGACTCTAGATGGTAATGGTAGTATAAAATGTTGCAAAAGAATTTGCAAAAGGACAGAAAAAAAGGGGGGATTTGAGACAAGGAGGCACAAAAGTACAAAATGTAATCAGTTCTAAGTAATGTTAAGTTTGATGGCTTTGTAATGGAAAATAACCGCGGTACTTGAAAGTAGTTGACGTAGTTTCAGGGCCTCAGGGCCTCAATACAAAAGGTGTGAGAAAAGCAGAATAGAAGGACAGGACCTGGGATGGGGAGTATCCCAGACTAGCAGATGTCCAGGATGAGAGCAGTTAAACTAACTGATAAGTAGAAGGCCAGGATGATTGCTATGTCTGTAAGCTTGTTGGGGAAAAGTAAACGACCCTTAAGGACCACCACATTTTTTGTATGCATGCTGGAAACTTTTTGGAAAATGATGTAATATGCTCAGTGACCATATAAGGATGACCTGTGTAGCAATTCGGGGACACACGTTAGGAGGAGCTATCCCCTGTGTCTCCCGGCGCCGCAATAAAGAATACCTGCTTGTCAACTTGAAACTCTGCTGGCAAGTCTGTTCCTGGAGTTTTCTCTGAATCACCATGAATAATAATGATAAGGGAAATAAGAAGGGAAAAGAATACAACCGCTCACCACCCGCCGACCAACATGCTGCATCCTGTCATCATCACAATTCTTTCTTGCTGCACCAGTTCCTGGTCTCAACTCAGCACTATAGTCCAGACATACTTTCCAATAATTACTGCGCCAAACACTTCCAGTTCTATCACGTGTTTCCTTTAATCAGCTATAGCCTTTCCCCTGTGTGGAGGCAGTGTTCTCTCAGGAGAATGGAAAATTGGTACATAAACTCTGAATAATCTTGAAAGATACAGCAAGGCCATGAGAGGCCTGAGGAAGCTTAAGCAAGCAAGATAAGAAGAAGCTGGAATTCACTGAGTTAATGAGAACTGTGGACTGTTGGCAAGCTTTTAAGGTCAAGTTCCCACACCTGTGCTTAACCAATTATATGCTAGTTGCAAAGGGTCTTCAAGACATGTATCCAATCATAAGATGCCAAATCACTGTAAGTGCATGTAAGAAATAGTATTTAAGGGGTTAAGGCTTTGTAATAAATGGCTTTTGTCTGATCATATTGATCTCTGACTGAGTCCATATATTTTCTGCGGCAATTGGTGCCCGAACAGGGACCCTCCATATTTTCCATATTGAAACTGAAGGAATTAAAGCGCGTGGCACCGAAGAAAGTGGAAAACGCAGAGCCGCAGGCACGTCGGCTGGGTTCGATCCGGCAGGACCAGGATCGGGAGGTAGACGCCTCAGAACGGAGCCTTGTGAGCCCGGAACACACTGCGCAGTGCAAATAAGGTAACAGCCGACGGGGTCTGGAAGAGGGTTAGGATGGGGAATCAATTAAGTAAAGAAAAAATGGTCATCCTTAAGCTCTTCCAGCATATCCTCTCAGTGAGAGGGATAGGATATGACAATAATCTGTTAAAAAGATTGTTGCTCTGGAGTAAAGAAAAAGAGCTCATCAAGGGGGTTAATGAAGCTTTTGATCTCGGGACCTGGAAAAAAATTGGGGCACGCCTGTGGGATCAAGTTACTTGTGGGTTTAAGGAGGCTGCTCCCTGGTTACTACTAAGAGGGACTCTAGCCACAATGAAGGCTGAGAAACAGGTGTCAAAATCTGTTTTTACAGCTCTCTCTGACTCGCCTTCACAAAAGCAGGGCTCAGTACCTACATTAGATTCAGCACCCGGTGCTACAGCCATGGTAGTGTCATCTGTTTCAGGCATAAAACATTCCAGTCAAAAACCGGCGTGCAGTACAGTACGAAAGTTTGAGGACCCTGCGCCTTTCCCCTATCCTGTGTCGACAACGCCTTTATCGGCAGTAGCTCCAGCTGATACTAAGGAGCCAGTAGTGGCTACTGAGCAACCAAAACAAACTGATGTTAAACCTTTTCATGCTGCTACTGCCCCTAAACTTAATCTCCAAGAATTTTTGCCAGGGTGGGAGTCTCCTAAGGAGGAGAATGTAACTCCAAATAAATACCCACCTCCGCCACATACACCACCGCTTGCATTGCTCCCACTGGAGCTGCAAAATGAGTGGAACTGGGACAATGGACAAAATCCTTAGATAAGCAATTGCAGGACTTGCGGGACCGCCTGGACAAGTTGGGGGAGGAGAGGGAGCAAGCCCCAGAAAAAACAGAAAAAACAGATAAGATCAGTCCGTGTGATGTGCCGTTACCACGGACTCCTACATCTAATAAAGCCAATCCGAGTGCCATGAGATGGCGAGGCTGCCTTCAGGATGCAATCATAGGCAGTACTATTTTACCGATAGATGTTCCCGCTGCATTCCCTGTTATTATAAATTCTCAGGGACAGTCTGTCTGGACTCCTATGGACTGGAAAGCTACAAAAGAAATTAAGGGAGCAATTACTCAGTATGGGTTGTCTTCCTCATATACACAGCAAATGTTATCTGCTTTCTTTTCTAGTAATGTTACTCCAAATGATTGTCTCAGAGTGGCTGCAATTTTATTAACTCCTTCACAGCTCCTACATTTTAAAAGTGGGTTTGAGGAGCTTGCTGCAAGGGCTGCAGATGAGAATTTAGAGTGTAATCCTCATCACCCTTTGCACGGTGTTTCATCTGAAATGTTATTGGGAAAGGGACAATTTCACCCTGATGGAGTACAAGCTTGTATGAAAACTGAAGTTTTACAGCAAGCACAGCAATTGGCTTTAGCTGCTCTGAAAGCTGTGCCGGAAGCGGGAAAACCTAATCCTTCATATACATCAGTAAAGCAGGGACCTACTGAGCCATATATGCAATTTATTGACAGATTGACAGAGGCTATCGAAAAGAATATTGATCTGGCATCTAATGCTAAAGAATCCATGCTTATGTCTCTGGCTATGGAAAATGCTAACCCAGCTTGTAAGCGTATTTTGCAGGTTTTGCCAAAATCTGCTGTTCTTCAAGAAATGATGGATGCATGTTCTAAAGTGGGCACAGCAGAGGAAAAGGCTGGATACATGGCTACTGCCTTCACCGCTGCTGTTAAACCCCTTCTACAACAAGGTCAGGGTGATCGTGGGGGTACTAAAGGACAAACTATTATTGAACGAACACATCAAACTTTGAAACAACTGTTGGAAAAAACAAAAAAAACAGGGGAAGAAGGAGGTACACCAGTAGCAAGGATACAGAAAGCTGTATATGTTATGATTTTTTTTGCGATTGACAGGAGACTTTAATGACCCCCCTGCCATAATACATGCTCAGGCATTAGGTTCAGGTTATATGACTAAAACTCAGGGTATTCGGGTCCAGTATAAGGACTTGGAAACCGGCATTTGGAAAGGTCCTGCAGAAGTAAAACTAACTGGTCAAGGTTATATGTGTATAATTACAGATTCTGGTCTGCGGTGGGTGCCAGCACGATGGGTGAAACCCTGGAAAGAACCAGCACCACCCCGGAACAACCCCCCTTGTCAGTGATTGAATTAATTGAAATGTCAGCTTAGGACTTCTGTTTTATGGATGTTTTTCAGTCCTTCTTATAGTGAAGAGAGCAAACAATTTTACGTTAAAGTAAAAAAAAAACAAACAAACAAACAAAAAAAAAACCAAACAAAAACATCCACCACCCCCCACCCACCCACCCGAATCTACAGCGAGACAAACATGGGATACAGGGGTATTGTGTGTGTTTTCGCTGGTGGGAAGGTCTTACATATGTTCTTATCAGGGGTATTGGGCAAACTGTGACTCATTTAATACAGTCTCTCTGTCATACTTATGAACCAGAAGTTGGTAAAAATGAATATGTCCAGGTTTCTATCAACCTTTGGAGACCTTTGTAGATATTGCTGGCCACTTCTTCCAGCACAGGCTGGCCACCTGTGTTGGAATGAGTGTGCATTTTGGTCAGTATAAAAGCCCAAGCCTCATGCGCTGTGGGGGAGGCAGAGCCTCTGCAGGGACACCCGCTAAGGTTGAGCCTGCCACCTCGCCCTGCAATGATGCTTCTCGGAGCTGTTTCTTTGTTAGTCTCCACGGGGTCCTTGTGCCACATTCTGTACATGGGACTGTGTAGTGGGAATAATAATTGTCTTTTTGTGTTTCAAATATTGTACTTGTGTGGAGTGTGCTTGTGGAATCCCACATGTGTGTGTGTGTTGAGGGCAATCAGTGTTTTGTGTATTGTTGGGTTCATGTAAACGTTTTTAATGGGTAACTGTTTAACATTTCGGGCGTGAAAGAGTTAATGTAAAAGTGCGGCTGCCAGCAGGTATTTATAGTTGCTGCTGAAGCAGGCAGGCGGATGTAGCTGCTGCCGAGCACGCCGACTTTTGCAGGAATAAAAAAAAAAAAAAAAGGGGGGGGAAGAGTTGATGCAGCAAACTCCACGACAGTTAACAATGTGCAGTTTAACCTGTCTGCTTCTCAAGAACTGATAACATGTGGGAGGGGGTATATCTGTGTCCTCCTGCCTACAGGTCCGTGATGACTGCCTGCAAAGTTTGTCAGGCCTTGCCATGAGCTGGACAGACGAATGGAAAAATCTGATGCCTCAGCTACAGGAGCTGACCGTGAATACCCCAAGCAGAATGAGATAGAGGAAGAGAAAAAACAAATACCTGCAAAACATCACTTGGGGGCAACTGAAAAGTAACATCCTGAATATGTGTGCTTGTAAAGTAGCTATTATTAGAGGCTGTGATTTTGTGTATAAAATCACCTGTATTTACCAGCTAGTTGCTTATTAGCAATTAGAAACTACACCTTGTATTGTATAGATTTGTCACTTGTAAAAGAGATGTTAGAGTTTGGAAATTTGCAGTAGCTGCTAGAAAATGCTAAGGCAAAAGCTAGAAAGATTTTAATACAATGGTAGTGTTATAAAGCAGATGATGGAACAAATTAAGAGGGTGGGAGAATTCCACTGGTAAGAAATTTCTTTGGCTAGTCCCTCACTGCCATCAGCATCTTCAACATGCTGCTGCACCCTGTAATAGTTACTCTGCTAATGTAAATTTGTGTGTGCCTTGCTGTAGTAGTGACTTGTTACTGGATGAAGCAGGTGAAACTCTGCATTGACAACAAGGTGCAAGGACTGAGGCTGACAAAATGCCTGCTACCACAATCAAGGGCAAGACTGGGTTGGCCTCTGTGTTTGCCACCAAGAAGAACCTTTAGCTCCGATGTTGGCTGCAACCCAGCAGGCGTGGAGCGGTGGGGACACATGCCATGCCAGACCTTGATGTGAAGGATGGCCTCCCCTGCTATCAGAGAGCCATACAGGAGAAAAAAGGGGCAGGCCCAGCAGCCTGTAGTTGGCATATATTGGAGATATGATCTAGGCCAAATCCCCTGCTCAAGTAGAGTCATCCAAAACATATATAAAACAAAAAGGGGGAGATGTGGAGGCAGTGTTCTCTCAGGAGAATGGATAATTGGTACATAAACTCTGAAAATCCTGAAAGATACAGCAAGGCCCTGAGAGGCCAGAGGAAGCTTACGCAAGCAAGATAAGAAGAAGCTGGAACTCACTGAGTTAATGAGAACTGTGGACTGTTGGCAAGCTTTTGAGGTCAAGTTCCCACACCTGTGCTTAACCAATTATATGCTAGTTGCAAAGGGTCTTCAAGACGTGTATCCAATCATAATATGCCAAATCACTGTAAGTGCATGTAAGAAATAGTATTTAAGGGGTTAAGGCTTTGTAATAAATGGCTTTTGTCTGATCATATTGATCTCTGACTGAGTCCATATATTTTCTGCGGCACCCCTGGTCTGAGCGCTTTGCTGTGCAGCACTGCAGATCCACTACTGGACATACGATGTGCTGCCAGGATGGTCCATGAGGAACACCAAGAGAAGTTCCCAGCAGCCTGTCCTACTCCAGAACCAGGGCTGACGACTGAACTTCCTGCCATGCAGACTGGCAGTTCCTGATGCCATTTCTGAATTCCCCAGTATCTGGAAGGCTCTTCTATTTAAAAACAGGGAACGCATAGACAACTTGTCTTAGCAGCAAGGTTAAAAGTGCTCCCCAGCAATCTGTACTCATTCATGCCATTAAACCAAGGCAGTCCCAGGAAAGGACACCTAGTTCTTAACACTTCCAGATGATACAAGATGAGACAACTTTAAACATAAATCAAGTTTCTATTGAGTTTCGCCTACAGAAAGGTCTGATTACAGTGCACATCTGGCTGCAGCTTTGGAGTTCTGTAACTACTTGCCCTGAAGAGAATTTCCATAAGGAAGGATATGTGGCAATACAGAGGAGATAGTACCTGGCAAAGAGAAGTGCAGTTATGTGCTAGAAAACAGGAAAAGTTATCTAATACAACATGCCTGTGACAAGAAAACACAAGGAGGAACCATTCAGCAGGCACATGCACTGCTCTGACAGGCAAACGAGGTTACAACAGGCCTTGTCACAGGAATGTGGAGTATGGAATGGGGCTTATTAAGCAGCATGCGAATTGTAACCAGATCCAAGGGCAGGCTGCAGAGGCCAAGGGAAAACACTTATCCCACTCAGATGTCATCACACCCTTCTACCACCTAACAAGTACTGCTGCTGGGGATGGACCAGCTCTCCTTCAGGGTGGCAGTTCATATTCACCTGGGTTCAGCAGTAGCAATCATTTTTCTCCTTAGTAGCTGGTGCAGCGCTGTGGTTTTGACTTTCAGGCTGGGAACAGCGCTGATAACACCAATATTTTTAGCTGTTGCTAAGTAACGTTTACTCCGACAAAGGACTTTCTGAGTCTCATGCTCTGCCAGGGAGGAGGGGAAGCTGGGAGGAAGCAGAGACAGGACACCTGACCCAAACTAGCCAAAGGGGTATTCCACACCACAGCATGTCATGCCCACTATATAAACTGAGAGCAGTTATCCAGAAGGGCTAGATCACTGCTCGGGTTGGGCTGGGTATTGGTCGGCAGGTGGTGAGTGGTTGTATTCTCTTCCTTTGTTATTTCCCTTATCATTATTAATATTGGTGGTAGCAGTAGTGGTTTTGTGTTATACCTCAGTTACTGGACTGTTCTTATCTCAACCGTGGGAGTTACATTCTTTCGATTCTCCTTCCCATCCCTCCAGGAGCAGGGGGAGGAAGAAGTGGGGGGAAGGAGCAAGCAGCTTCGTGGTTCTGAGTTACCAGCTGGGCTTAAACCATGACACACATAAACTGCTCAAGTGTCCTGTAATTGTCTGCTCTGTTTTCAAAAATTTCCTGGAAAATTTTTCAAATTCTGTCATTTCACATCATCTGTCACACCCAAACATTAAGAATCAGTAAGTCCTATCCCACTGCACTTGCAAAAAGCAACAAGGCACAGTTTAAAGTCATTGAATATTGACTAATTTTATTAGTCACTTCATAATTTGTTCAACCAAAAGACAATACACACAGCAGAGGTCTAATGAATCCCATGGAAATGTTTACATCTGTTATGCTCCTCACTCACCTAAGACTCAGCATTTAGTGTTTTCAAGTCACAAAGATAGACCTATAAAAGTTGGAATGCCACAAGGCTCCCTGCTCAAATGGCATGGCTTCACTTGGAATTTGTTTGGGTTTGCTGAGGTTTTTGTGTTTTGTTGGTTTTTTGTTGTTTTTTTTTTTGTTTGTTTTTAGCTTGCTTCCCCTCCCACTATACTGTCTAAAAGGTGGGATGAGCTCTATGTAAATTACAACATCAGAAAAGTGAATATACAGAAGGGTGAAAGTTCAGAGGGAAGTAGTCCAGCAGCCCCTTCCCTCACAGCCCCCAAGTAGAAAATAAACACACAGAAAGCACACCAGCAAGCCATCTTTGCTGCTCCATCTTGCAGCTAGTCCCAGCCTTAGGGAAGCACAAAGTCACCTTCCCCAGCTGTTTCATTATCTTCTGCATTTCAAACCCAAGGTACTGTATAGGTGCCAGTACCCTCACTCTTATTGCTTCAAAAGGTTATTCAAGGTCATATTTTGCCACATCAAAACCTGAACAAAGTTGAATTTTAGGACCTTCCCATGTCTCCTCCCCCTTCAGGCCCATTATGGACGCTATTCTCTCTGTCATTTTTTGACTCAAAATACATTCACTTGAAAAAACCCAGATGTTCAATCTCTCCCAGTTCCAAAATTTCCAATGCAGATATGAGTGAGATTAGCCATGAAGTCTGTATCTTGCTCCCTTTACATTCCCCTTAAACTGAAGCAAGGAAGATGTTGACCAGACCTGTAAGAACTGTTGCAGTAAACTAGTGGAAAAAAGACTTGCCCTATCTATCCTCAGAGTGCCTCAGACATGGACACACAAATACTCCACAGCAAGAAAACAAAGCAGCACAGAGCTTGAAATGCAGTTCGGGGTCAAGGAACAAGCAATGGTATCTAGCACTGCAGACAGGGGAACATATAAAACCCACCTGCGTGCCTGCACAAAGTTAGCACCCAGCCCTTAGCAGGAAAGGGAAAAAGCTCGGAGGATTATAGGAATGTTCAGCTGCTACAAAGCAGTACTTCACAGCCAAGTGATGGCTTCAAGCAAAAATCATTTCAGGTACATGCACTGTCTCCTCCAGCTCCACTCAGAAATTCTGGGGCCAGCACCCATTTCCCTGAACACATACACTGTGACAGAAGCTGAAGGAGCCAAGAACATAGCATGAAATTACACACTTACCAGACAGAGACCAACAACAAGCCTCAGCTGCTCTAGGAGATGGAAAACAAGTGCATTAAGAGGGACATGGTAAGCTGTTCCCAACTATGCTACAACAAAGAGGCCATTTGTTGAGAGACAAACAGTGAGAGACCATTTACTTCCTTCTCCCTATCTAATCTGCAGCAGTGCTCTACTTGCTCTACTACACAGACCAGCACTTAAGTCAGTGACAGTCAGTCCTATGCGATATTATTTAATGCAGTTAAAACCAAATTTAACAACCTTTAGTGGCCTCCTGCTCCCAGTTCAAGGGCAGAAGAAGTCTTAAATTTTCCAAGTACACTGTGCACCACACTTGCGGTGGTTTTGGCTGCAGAGGCAAAAAGCTGTGTCTAAGCTTGCCATCAGAGCACTGAATGTTCACTATCTGAAAAGCACTAGAACAGAAATAAAGCAAATGTGTCATTTCTTTTGAGCAAGCACTGGGTTGGAAGGTGAAGTACTGAGACAAGGAGGCACAAAATGAAATACAAACCTTTGTAAATAAGCATAATCAGTTCTAAGTAAAGTTAAGTTTGATGGTTTTGTAACAGTAGCAATGGAAAATAACTGAGGTACATGTTTCACAGAAAAAAAATAGAGTGCAGCTAGAGAACATAATGAGAATCCTTGTATAAGATAAACCACTGTAGCTGGCATAGTTTTAGGTCCTTAGGACCTTAGTACAAAAGCAGGCGTAAGAAAAGCAGGATAGAAAAACAGGACGTGTAGATAAAGAGTAGCTGAAACTAGCAGATGTCCAGGATGGGCTGCAGCTAAGCTAAATGATAAGTGGAAGGACAAGATGATTATGTCTGCAGTGTTACCAAACCAATTAAGCTAGTGTAAGCATTATCTACAGCACATGCTTCAAAGACTGCCAGAAGTGATGAAGATTGTTGGAAGAAGTAAACAACCCCCAAAGACCACCACTGCATTTTTGTATGCATGCGGGGAAACTTTCTAGAAGAATGTTGTAATACATAAGTAGCCTCATGAATATGCATGTATGTACATAACGAATATGCATGCTTAGTGACTATATAAGGATGGTTTGTTTAGCAATTTGGAGAGACACACTAGGAGGACCTATCCCCTGTGTCTCTTGGCGCTGCAATAAAGAATACCTGCTTGTCAATTTAAAATTTGTTAGCAAGTTCCCGGAGATTTCTCCAAATCAGTACCTTCAGCTTGCCAGCACACTCATGGATGAAGATCCAAGATACATCCTCCTCTCTTCCTCCCTGAAGAGGGCTCAACATCTGAACAGTTTTGTCACACCATGCTTTATGTCCTACACATCACCTCCATGAGAACTCACAGAGCTGTACTACATCGATAACAGTTCACCCTAGGAAGCAGAACTGAACTCAGCTTTCTGTAAGCTTGGAAGAGTAGTGGACCTCACATCTTTGGATCCAAATACTCCAACAACTGGCTTCCATTCAAAATACAGTTTAGTGACTTTCAGTCTGAACCTGAATTAGCACATTTCTCTGAAAGGGGAACAAGGAGCAAACTACAAAGATCAATTAAGTAACAAAATGGGAAAAGGTCTCTTTAAACCACATGGTCTTTATTTCAGTGCCAATATTACAGATACAACACAAATATCCCAGTCAGAAGTAACTCAAACAGAATCCAGGGGGTCTACAACAGGTTCTGGAAATTAAATTGCAGAGAATGTCTGGAATAACTGGGAAGAGCAACTTTGCAGCACAGTCTCTGATGAGTCTCACAGCAGGAACAGAGCCCTTGCTCAAAGACTGATCTACAAAACTGAATGTCTTTTCTACCCATAAATCGCAACTAATGGGTTAAAAAGGCTTTGAAACCATCTTTGGTAAAAAAACAGCTGCTCCTTGGATCTCTACATCTCATACATCACCACACTTTTTGGGAACGCTTGTCTGAATCTGCATGGCTGTAGCTATTGATGTAAAGAAAGAAAATTCAGGTGTAAGGTCTTAATTCCCAAGTACAGCACCAAAGCAATTTTATCAACTCTCACCAACACCTCTTTTCCTGCACTGTTTTAGGTCTGCAGATGAACTCCCGATGCCTAACTTGCTCTTGATATGTATCACATAACTAAGAGGTGGGTGTATACAACAATGCATTGAATAGGCCATAAGCAGTCCCCAGTCCCTTCAGACATAGGGGATACAAGAATAAAGAGGCAGGGCAGCCTGGTGTTCCCCAAGTCCCCAATCTGAGCCCCAGATGAAAGTGCCTGAAGGAATCCAGCTAGTAATGAAGGACAACACGCCTTGCCCATCCCAGGGGAAAGAGACAGCAGAAAGAAGGGGCAGCTGTTCACTTGCTGCAGACAAGAAAGTTTCCCTGCTAGAAATTCCAGACTTCTCTTCCAACCAGGCTGTGTTTCTTTGCAGGGGGCAGAGATAAGGGGAGAAGGGAATGTTGCTTCTGGCTGTGAATGCATGTGTGAGGGAATGCACAGTAGCCTCCACAAGCCGCCAGCCTCATCAGCAGAGGAAAGGAGATTAGTCTTAACAGATATGCTTCAAAGTCAGCCATCACTTCAGGAAAATTCCTCCTCATCAGCAGGTCTCATCTGTTCCCCATGCCCATGGTGCAGTTTGGGGGATTGCCAAGGATCACAACCTTCTTCCCAGAGTTCTTTTGATTGGGTGGGGTGAAAATAAGAATGGAGCCTCACTGCCAAGACTGAGGGGGGAAGTTGTTGACTTCTGCTAGATCTTGTATCGCTGAGCCCTTGTGATTATATGTCAACTTGATCCGCATACGTAGTTGTTGCTACAAGAGAAAAGGAAAAAAAAAACCAAAACAAACAAACAAACCAAAACAAAAAACAAATTCAGGTCTTCATTAATGACATCAATGAATCCCCCTACATCTAGCTTCCCTCCCTTACCCCATGAATACAAAACATGTACCTTTCCTCACCACAAGAGCTTGCTGGAAGGATGTGCAGGATAAGCTATGACACTGCAGATTAATGCTTAATCAGACAGGATGTTGATTGATCACTGTAGTTCTCAGATAGGTACAAACTCTCATAAAAGCTATAGCACAGCTCCTACCCACATCTGTCTCTGCACTGGCCCTGTTCTCACAAGCACTGAAGTCCTTAAATACAAAAATAGCTGCCTTAAAATCCCACTTAACAATGGAAGAAAGCACGAGGCAGATCCAGACTCTGCTGCTCTGCACTCAGGCTTTCAGGGAAAGGTGTCATTTCCCATACTAGCTGTTCATTCAAAACAGTGGTCTGGGAACTTTGCTCCATAGCACTGTGAAGGAAATAACCTAAGAAAGACTGAAAACAGAGTCTCTAGGAATATTTCCTCCTGCTGTTAAAGATGGAATAGCTCAGAAGTTTGTCATTTGGCTGTCATCCAGATACTAGGTGGCCCTTAATAATAGCTATAGGACAGCATGCTCCAGTTAAGCTCCCTATTCTCCTCACTCAAAAAAACCTGTTTCCCCAAAACCCTAAAAGCAAAAAGTTGGCTATTTCTGTCTCTTTTTCATATTGTCCTGTAGGTATGGGGAAAAGGGACAGCAGAGGGAGGAAAGGAGGACAATGACTGTTCCAACCAGCCTTAGGATAAAGAAACTATGCCTTATCACTGATAGATCAATATGATCAATAGCAGTTTTTGCTATATTTAGTGTTGCTTTGGAAAACTGGCCATCACTTTTGATCCAGCAGTCCATGTCCAGGTGAACAGACTTTTTTTACAATACTGACAGCTACCTCCTAAGTAGCAAAGCAACATTCCAAAGTTGCCTCCTCTGGAGTATTCCAGGCAAATACATTATCTCATGGAGAGGGCTCTTGCGAAGCTGTACTTTCAGGCAGTAGCAACTGAAAAGACAGTAAGAGATGCATATGTGCCTGAAGTGGAAGAGTTAGAAAAGAGTAGGCAAGAGAAGAGGGTAGGAAAATAATATTTTGCACCTCTGTGTTCTGAAGTGTTCTGGTGTTCCAACAAGAAAGCACCCCATTATCTGCGGGTACTTCACCTTGTGGGTCCTACCCAAGGTGGATATACTGTGACTTCTGCCACCCTACAGGAAAGCTCATAAACTCTCTGACATTCAGAAAATAACTTTCAAGGTGATCTTTGAAAGGTTCTCTACAGCACCACAAATAAATTCTTATCAGTTGCATAAAAGACAAAGAGAATATTCTTCTGCCTTTTAGGGAGAGGGGAGTACACTACACAGAGATAAGGGGAGATGCATGGAAGCCACAAAAGCTATGCACTAAAACCCAGCCATTTCAGTAAAATCTTAGGCTGAGATTTGAGAATTTTTCTGATCTGCACATCAGCCCAGCAGCAACACTTAGCATCTACAACAGTACATAAATGTTGACCTACAAAAAACTTAAGATGTCTTAAGTTCTTAAAGATATTGAAAATCTTAAGAGCTTTCCACAAAGCAAGAAATAAGTGATCACAATTTTATTTTTCTTTCTGATGCTATCTGAACACTTGCAAAGCCTCTTAAGGAGGACATGTGGGCCACCCCTCACACTCCCCTCAAGTCTGTTGTATCCCAGTCTTGAAGCCCATCTATGAAGGCTGTAAAACAAATGGAATTATGATTAAATCACACCTAAAGATTCTTTCCATCTGCTGTTTAAAAATACACTAATCACATTAAAAACAAGTAACACCACTGGAGAAACAGACAATTTTGTTAAGATTATGGATCAAACATTTCAACTAACACCACTGCAGACAGCAAGAATGAACGTTGTTACAACACAAACACCAGGTTGAGCTCCTCTAGAAAGGCCATCTAAAAACTTGTTTAACAACCATTCCAACGCAAAAGACGTTCATGAATTCAAGAAGCTACCAAAGCTGTGAATCTGTTTTATCAGTATAACCCAATAGAAGGCCAAACATGTGCCCAGTACTTCATGTCTTTTTCATAACTTTTTCCTAAACCTAACCAAGATGGCTGCCATTAAAAACACATAATTCACTACCATCACTCCCTACCTCTCAGAGATGCATCCCTAACTAACTGCCACTAAATGCCCAATTCCAAGACAATATCTTTAATAACTGTTCCTGGAATCTATTACCTTTTGTGGATTCAGGACTTTAATGACCTGTGTGATGGTCCCCGAATTAAATGCAGGGATGACACTGCTACTGGGAGACAGGAGCTGCAGCTGGAATGTCTGAAGAAAGAGCAGAGAAAACAATTTCACGCTTAATCACGTAAGAACATGAAGTGATTTGTTTGCACTGAGTGAAAGCAAGGAAACATTAAGAGTTCAATTCCCAGCTCTGAATAATCAGTTCTTTCAATTCCCTACCTGTAAATAACAAAACATTCATTGGTCCACCTGCTTTCTACATAAATAAGATCCAGGTAGCACAAATACTATGGGGTGAGGGCTTACTGTAGTGTACCAAAATAGCAAAGATGCATTGTTTCCAGTGTCACACACAGAGGAACAAGTGCCCTGGGTTCAGCTGTAACAGTTACTTTTCTCTTTCCCAGTAGCTGATGAAGTGCTGTGTTCCAGCTTTAGCCTGAGAACAATGCTGATAACACACCAATGTTTTAGTTGTTGCTAAGTAATGCTTAATCTGATCAAGGACTTTTCATTCTCAGGCTCTGCCAGTGAGGAAGGTCACAGGAAGCCAGGAGGAAGCAGAGACAGGACACCTGACCCAAACCAGCCAAAGACAGCATGTCATGCCCAGTATATAAACTAAGGGAAGCTACCCAGAAGGCCCAGATCACTGCTCAGGTCGGGCTGGGTATCAGTTGGTGGGTGGTGAGCAATTATATTGTGCATCACTTGTGTTTATTGTTTTTTTTCCCCCCCTTCCCTTTTTAATTTTATATTCTCTCCCCTTGTTATTTCCCTTATCATCATTATTACTGGTGGTAGCAGTAGTGATTTTGCGTTATACCTTAGCTACTGGACTGTTCTTATCTCAACCTGTGGGATTTACATTCTTTTGATTCTCCTCCCTGCTGGGGGGGGTGAGTGTGTGTGTGTGTGTGAACAGCTGCATGGTCAACCAAGAGGGCCAAGAGGGTCAACCATGACAATCAAAACTGTTCACATTTGCAACTTCGCAGGAGGTCCATTCTTTCCTCAATTCCCTCCTATGGCAGGTATGAA